AACGGTATTACGGAGTGTATTACTATTTAAGAAAGGAAGGGCACCGCTATATTAGTAACGGTATTGCCGAGTTGTTATTAGTCGAAGAAGGAAATCGAAAGCAAGGGAAAGTTAGCGCTAAGACGACTAGCGCCGCTATTGGCGACATTACTTGCTATTATTACTACGCCTATAGATATAACCTTACCTATACTACGAGCCTAAGGCACCTTAATTAAAACTTTAATTAAAACTTTAAGGCTAAGTCAAAACTTTAAGCCGCCTAAAAGATTAAGCGACTAATAGACTAACTAAGGGCAAAACTATAGAGCTAAGCTAGCCGGGGTCGATCTTGCGGATAATAGGTTACTTCTTAATCTTTCTAACCCTTTAAGCGAGGCGAACCTTAACTACTGCACTTATAATAGCCTTTACCTATAGAAACTAGACGAGCTGTGTTTTTTCTAAAAAGTAAATAATAGCCCTCGTAATAATAAGAACAAACCCTCGGAAGCGGACAACCCTTAGAAGCGGACATTGCTAGGTCTTTTAAAAGTAGACGTAAAGAACTCGATACGATATTACTTAGAACGGAGGCAGTGCTATAATACCTCGTACGTCTACCTATTATAGTAGGGAAGACGCGCTCGTATTATAATTAGTCGAAGGCCTTTAATTCTTATAGATATATATTACTTTATAGTTTATTATATACAGAGATAGCGCAGTTAGAGTTAGACATTGTGCTATATTAGAGGTAAGGTTTGATATAGTTATATAATCAGTAGTTATACGTTTAATTTAGCGCGGGCTAAGCGGCTTATTAGACCTGCTAAGTTAGCGATAATAGAGGTTAAGACTAGAATAAAGACTAGCTACGAGGGCGCGGCCTTTAGAAGGGAAGCGTATATTAGGACTAAAGAGGTTATACGTAATTGGTATGTAACCGGGCTCGAGTAAAGCTAGGGTCTTAATGCCTTAGGTAGGGCTTAGCGCTTAGTAATAGGCTAACTTGCCTGCCTTCCTCCCTCTCCTCTTAGCTCCTTATCGAATACTACTCGTACCTACTACTACCCTATCTACCTGCTAATATACCCCGCTTACAATTAGTTATAGGTACCTTAAAGAGCCGGAAATATATATATCTTCGTAGATTAGTAGTAGCTTCCGTAAGCGCCCTTGTTTTATAAGGTTACGTATATAGAATATACTAAATAACTTATAGTTATTATAGAGCTTGTCTATAGTGCGCCTAGCAATGTTTATAAGGTCGCTAATGCTATTATTCGATAGGCGACCTTCGTTAAAGAGGCGCTTTATCTCGTTAAGCTAATCGTTAGGTAGGCGCGCTATTAACAATACCTTAGAAGGGTCTATACTATTGAAACAGCGACAACATGGAATTTAGCTATAGTAGTAGAGATCTAGACTGCCAAGAACGCCAAGTTGCTAACTAATTATAGTGGCAGCTGGCAGAAACCGAAACTCGGCCCTCCGACCCCATGGCGCGCACTTCTGAATACCACAATACGACGCAAGTACAGGATCTACCACTTCAGCCATCATATTCCCCCCATATCGGCTACAGACTTCCTAACGCGAGGAGCAGGCCACAAAGTCCTCAATCCGACATACAGCACAGTGCTCGTCACCAACCCGAACAAGTAGCTCTTTTGCGACAGAATTTGATGAGCTCACCGCATGCGCAATGCCAGGAGTCAACGGGATCCAGCTGATGCACCACGCAGCCACAGCTCGCCCATTTGTACCGAACCGGTTATATCGGTACCTCGCATCGGGCTGATACAGCTCTGGAACCACGTATGACTGACGCTGAACGATCCAGTAGTCTGCAAGAAGCACGCCAGTAATCGGTGCCAGCCAAATCGTGTAGCCGTCCATGAAGTTTAACAACGCAGACGCCGAAGCGAGGATGTTCCAAGGCGTGAGCGCCCAAGCACCTATACATGCAACGACGTAGCTACCTCGGCGTAGATTGATATACTGCGCACTGTAGTTAGTATGAGTGGTGCGATCAGAATTGGACGCATTGACTGCTTTTCGTTAGTGTGTGACTCTAGACACTGGAAAAGAAGGACCTCACGTCAAATGTCCTAATGTGATGATCCCGATTGCTGTCTACTACGACAGACCCAGCGTGACGACCGAGGAGCCCAGTCGCAGGTTCCCTGGCGCCATTGCATCGCATAGCCAAATCGATCTTGGGATTTCCTCACAGTTGAGGCTGTGCCAGGTCTGTTGTTCTGGAGGTGTGGGTTCAAGATCTGCGACGTCAGCCCCCGTGTCCTCATACATATTCCAATCGTGACATTCGTCCGTACCAGCGTTGCTCTATTTACTGTCATCGTTTGGTCCGTCTGGCAGACGAATCTTATTTAGACACCGGTGAATGCCGAAACGACCACCCAGGTTTAGGCTTTCGGTGTCGCCGGTTTCGACTTCGGATGCTGCCACGGTGTCGATCCCCTTGGCTTTCTCCTTGCGCTCCATCTCGTCAACGCAGGATTCCAAGGAGACAGTTCGGAGTCAGCAGTACTGTCTGCCATTTTGAAGGATGAGAGACAGTTGGTGCGCCACGCCGTTCTTTGAGTTTGACTGATATGTCGATCGGGCAAGCAAGGCTGTGAAGCCGTCGGGCCCCGGGCTGACTTCAACCGATTACGGTGGCCGGCCCAAAGTCTGATAAGTGTTGGGAACTTGGGACTGCCAATGGGATGGTTTCATCGGCATCTGCAGACATGTTCTACGTATCATACATGTACCTAGCGGTGTGGGACACGAGGAGATTGTAGCCTACTCCTCTGCAAGTACTATGTTGGACAGTGTCAGATGACAGCCTGAAGTGTCATCGAAGATGCCGCACAAAATTGAGGAGTTGAAGATCATTCCGCTCGATGCAGAACTGCGTAAGCAGACGCAGCTGGGCGCCGAAGTGCTGCTGCCGACATCGTCGCCTTTGCTTGACCCTGCTTCCTTGTCGGCTTCAGATCTAGAGACGCTTCGGAATGCACTGTTCGAACATGGGGTCTTGGTGATTCGAAATCAGACTGGCGTCAGCCCAGATGTGCTTCCTCAGGTGGCGCGGATATTTGATCCGACAGCACGCGACATCCACTCGGGAGGCGCCAAGCAGGAAATGAACAAGCAGAACATCCTATCGCAAAACAACTGCTCAAGGATCCCACGAGCTCCACAGGTCACGGTGATTGGCAAAGGAAACACGAGCGGCCATGAAGATATTGAAGACCTGGAGCTGAAGCATCTAGTGAGCACTGGTTTGTAATATCCACCGTCTGAATTGCAAAATTGACAGGAGCGTGCCAGGATCACACCTCATTTCATGAAACGCCATTATGGGACGAACAGATCGCCGCTGGCTACACTCGGCCTTATCGATGGCAAATGGACGCCCCATTGTACGAATCTCTGCCAGGCATAGCGACCGCTCTACACTCGGTAGAAGTTCCAGAGCTACCTGATCAGAAGATCATGTTCCCGACCGGCGAAGAGATGGAGGTCGCCGCGGGAGCAACTGCTTGTCAGTATCGCCGTAAAAGCTCTCAATTGAAAAAAAAAAATACTGACCAGGTCCCAGTTTTCTCAGGCGCCAGGGCATTTGATCTGTTGACGCCCGAGGAGCAAGAGTTCGCTCTGAACACCACGGTTCATTACGCCCCTCGGGCATACGAATTTATCAAGGACTGCAAGGCGACTGACGACGGCCTGACCATTGCGAAAGTAGGTCGGGAGAAGAAGCAGAGCGAACTAACTCCTTTCGAGTGGGATAAAGTCCACTCGTATCCAGTGAGTCGTCCGGTCAGAAGTAAATCGAATGGTGCTACACTGACCGAATTGCAGATGGTATGGAGAAATCCAGCAACCAACAAGCCTCATCTCCAAGTCCTGGGCTGCTGTGTCGCATCTCTGCACACGAAGAATGCATATACCGGGAAAGTGTACGTTGTCGATGATTTGGCCAAAGCTAGAAGGATGGTCCATCGAATGCAAAGCCGCATCTATCGTCCCGAGAACATCTATGCTCACCGCTGGCGGAAGGGTGATCTAGTCATCTTTCATAATCGCGGTGTGATGCATAGCATTACCGGACAGCTGGAGAGGCATCCTCAACGAAGGCTGTTGTGGCAATGTAGTATGGCTTCGGAGACGTGGCCGGAAGCGTATAGGCCGCGGTGATTCGGGATTTTGAGGGTGCCGCTGATGGAGGGAGAGCAGTAGATATATACATTCCGCTTTGCCGTTCTTGATGAGGGTGTAACCGCGGTGTGGAGATGTTTCCGGATGGGACTCCTCTCTGGGCGGCTTGTTTCGAATCAGATCTGGATCTGAAAGTGCGGTGCTTATTCCAGTGTTCGCTCATTCCGATCTTGAGTCTTTCGCGAGATCGTATCGCAGCAGCGAGTCCCCTTTTGCAAGCACTCTGAGGTCGGATGGACATCGCTTGCCATGCTCCAGTGCCTGACACTTCGGATATGGATGCATGGTATTGTATTCTTGCCCTGATGAGTTATCCACCGATGTATGACGAAGCGACATGTATGGATTGGGATTCTGCAGTGAAGCCAGCCACAGAAAGGACCGACACGATGATTAAAAGGTCAAGCTCCACTAGACAACCGGCAGTTGAATTACCTTATATCCCGTAAGCACCACCACATACAACCTCGTCACCTACGACGTGAGATCTGGCATTGAAAATCATGAAGCATTGATGAAGCATTTGAATGGACGTGCGTGGCACGGTGGCACCACTTCATACAGTAGACTCCACTCCCACTCCCATGTTCGTAGTGCCCGCACCTCCACCTCCACTGCTTTAGGAACGTGGATACTACGATCCCGACATGGTTTATTCTAGTTGCCCCATCGATACAACTCATCAAGAGATTCGCACTGTTTCAAAACCTTGCGAAGCCTCACCATATTCCTCAAAACCCGATCTGTGTCAATCCGGCCTTCACGATCCTAGAAATGTCCCACCTCTTGGTTTCCAGCGCAAAATGCCCAGCGTCGACAAATTGCACGATTGCATTGGGATTATCCCTCTTGAAGGCTTCGGCTCCAGGTGGAATGAAAACTGGATCTCCTTTGGCCCAGATAGCGAGGATTGGGACCTTTGAATTCCGAACGTATTCGTGTACCTTTGGATACAGAGTGGCAGGGTTAGTGCGGTAGTCGTAGAAAAGGTCGATCTGGATCTTGGTTTGCTTGTCGCCAGCGATATTCTGCAGGTAGTCCAAGTGCCACGCGGTGGGGTCCAAGAGTGCGAGATCAGATTCGGGAACACCGGTATTGTATTGCAATTTTGTTCCTTCGAGCGTCAGGAAGTTGTTCGCAAGGTACTCTCGTTCAGCTGAACCGTTCGATGAGTTCCAGAGATCGAATACAGGAGCCCAGAACTCCTGGCCAAAGCCTTCGTTGTAAGCATTTCCGTTCTGCGAGATGATGGCTTTGACCTGGTCTTCCCTCTCGAGGGCAATTTGAAGACCGACTGGTGCTCCATAGTCGAAGATGTAGATGGCGAACGATGTGAGATTCAACGCTGCGATCCAGGCGGATGTCACTGCTGCAAGATTGCCGAAGGTGTAGTTGAAGTTAGAAGAGACTTGGGTCAGGCCGAAGCCAGGGAAGTCGGGGGCGAGAACATGGTAAGAGTCTGTGAGGAGAGGGATAAAGTCTCGATACTGATATGATGAGCTCGGGAAGCCATGAAATAGTAGGATTGTTGGAAGTGTTGGTGCTCCGGCCTCAACGTAGTGGACTGTTGCATTGCCAGAAGAAGTTGGGCCAGCGAAGCTCACTGGAACATCGTGGTAAGTTGGCACGTAAGGTACTGCTGTCAATGCCATGACTGTAGACTGATTTGACTCTTCTCGACTTTGTTCGATTGTTTTTCGCTGTTCTCTTCCTACATCTTACCTCTCAAGAAGCTTTCCAGCTTTTATAGAGCTATCGGCGGTGATTGCAATGTCTAGGGTTTCAGCATGGGTTGTTCTGACTTGATCCTCTCGCAACGTGCATGATTGAAGTCTGGTTAGCTTGCCAAGCATCAAGTCCAGTGTGTTGCTGCTGTGTCAGCAGAATGGCCAACTGAGCCGACACTGCTAACCTATTTGAGGCTTCGCGAGCGAGCTCTAATGTCATCATTCGTGGTTGCTTGTGGAATCATGCCTCGCATCAAGCTCACTTAGATCGCTTCGCTCGTCCATGCTCTATCCATGCTTCAATTCAATCTATGCCCGATTATCAGGCCCGCGAGCTACTTAGCAGAGGGCCATCGTGTCACTTCGTCAGCCCGAGCTGCTAGTATGAATTTGGCCGAAAATAGTCATGGCGGTCGCTCGATCAGCCGTGGTAGAAGCGTCATGGCGTGCAAAAATGGGCTTCGCAGCCGTCTTCAGAAGACTGGCCCAGTCCGGATGAACGAGGTACATTATTCCTCAGCAGCGCCAACAGCGATCATGGCCGCGATCTATGTGTCAAGTCCTGCTGAAACATCATAGCCCTGCTGCAAACGCGTGCTGTCAGCGATGCGTAAGTATACGTCAATGCAAAGTGCGTGATACGACATGAAGCAGACGAAGTCGTGGGTTCAGCGCTCTCGGCGGAGAGCCCAACAAGTATAAGCTCTTTATGTGCTGTTTGAAATCTGCCGTGTAAATGTAGACGATCTGGCGTCTCGCAGCTGATGTCTTCGTTGATGGACGGGCTTTTCTGAAGGCGAAGGAAGCAAGGCGAGACAGGTTCCAAGTTCAAGGTTGAGAGTGAATGGAGGCCGAGCCAGGAGGCGGCCAGTGCTTCGGATACGCCAACATCACAACTTCGCATGCCTTCCCACTTCTTCCTCTTCCCCATCTTCTATTCAGACAGTGTATCATACACTGTAGCATCTCATGAATGCCTCCATCGCTGAAGTCGATTGATTGCCGGCTACTCCGCTGTAGCTGTAGGCTGGTGTGTGTACGAATATCAGGCCGGCGGCCGCCTGCTTCCAAACACGATGCGTTCCTCGCGATTCAGCGACAGCACCGCCGCCGACATCTCATCGAGACTGTAAAACAAATTAAAGCCGTTCAAGGCGACTATAAAGAGCACAGGAATCGTATTCGAAAGTCCGCGGAGCTATGGAAAGCACCAATGTAGCAATGGTAGTCTAGCTCTTTTGGAGCTCCATTCTGCAGCAGTGCAGCTACAAGCAACGGGAGGAGCACAGGGTTCGAACGGACGGTCACATGTCCAACCTCCAACGAAGTTTTTTTGCACGAGGCCGCGTACTCTTGTCGTGCGGCTTGTATATTGCTTATCCTGGTATATCACGACTTCAGCTGAACCGGTCTCGTGCTGATACCATCTACATTCGTTGAATACAGGGAGCAGCCATCTATTGCACCATGCTATATCTAAGGGCCTTCGCTGCCACGATCGGCGTCCTCGTCACCTACCTAATAGCCGATGTATCCGGTCAAGATATTGACACTATTGTGATCAAGGGCTCAAAGTTCTTTTACTCAGGCAATGGCACACAATTGTAAACTTGTCACATATTTGCATGCACGCAGAGCTGACTGAGCTCTACAGCTTCATCAAAGGAGTCGCTTATCAGCAGGACTTCCAGCCTGGTCGCGGTCAGCCGAGTAATGGCTACAATGATCCTCTGGTGAGTGCCAGAAAGCTGTCTTCAACCTCTACGTACGGCTGACTTCACACCTATCAGGCCGACACTGCTGGCTGCATGCGAGATATTCCATACCTTAAGCAACTCGACACTAACACAATTCGCGTGTATGCCATTGATCCTACTCAAGACCACTCCGAGTGCATGACCGCATTGGCCAATGCAGGAATCTATGTCCTCGCAGATCTGGCGGCTCCCAATGAGTCAATCGACTCGAATGACCCATCATGGAATACGGAGCTATATGCACGATATACTTCCGTGGTCGACGAGATGCAAAAGTACAGCAATCTGCTTGGCTTCTTCGCTGGAAACGAGATTGTCACGCAGCCAAACGTCACAGCCTCGGCAGCTTTCGCGAAAGCTGCTGTGAGGGATATGAAAGCATACATTCGTTCCAAGAAGTACCGCGCGATCGGCGTGGGCTACGCCACGAGTGATAATGCTGATATTCGTGTGCCACTCGCGAATTATATGTATGTCGGAGTCCCATGCTTGCGAAAGACCAGCTGACGAGGTTCCTAGGGATTGTGGTAACTCAAGCGACGCCATTGACTTCTGGGGCTACAATGTCTACTCGTGGTGTGGAGATTCGTCATTCTCAACGTCCGGCTATCAGACTCGTACTGAGGAGTTGGCAAGCTACAACGTGCCGGTCTTTTTTGCTGAATATGGATGCAATACCGTCCAACCGAGGACTTTCACAGATGTTCCCGTGCTTTTCGGGCCTCAGATGGACGACGTCTGGTCCGGAGGCATCATCTATCTATACTTTCAAGAAGTCAACGACTATGGTAAGGATCATGACTTGAATGCAGAAATTTGTACCACCCACTCTACTGACGGTACCCAGGTCTCGTCTCCATTGACGGAAACTCGGTGTCTACTTTGGTAGATTTCAACAACCTAAAGTCACAAATCACGACCGTGTCGCCAAGCGGTCCAAATTCAGCTTCCTACAGCCCGACCAATTCTCCTCAGTCCTGCCCGACAAAGAATTCAGCCTTCAGCGCAGCCACGAATCTTCCGCCCACGCCAGACACCTCTCTGTGCGACTGCATGTACAACTCTTTAGGCTGCGTGCCGTCCAACGATGTCGACGCAGACTCCTACGGCGATCTCTTCAGCTACGTTTGTGGCGACAACGCCAACCTGTGCAACGGAATCGCTAGGAACGGCACTACTGGTCAGTATGGCCAATTCGGGATGTGTAGTCCAAAGCAGCAGCTTGGCTATGTCTTGAACCAGTACTATAGTAGTCGCGGTGCCGATGCGACCGCATGTCGCTTCTCCGGTTCGGCAGTGACACAGGCTGCTGCGAGCGCCACTGGCAGCTGCGCTACACAGTTATCTGCGGCCAGCTCTGCGAATCCCGCTGCCGGCAGTGCTTCTTCGAGCCAAGGTGTTGGTGCTGTGAATCCTGTGGCCGGAATGGATGTTGGATATGTTAGCTTGGCGGTGCTTCTTCAAGTTGCTATCATCTCTGGTGTCGGTATGATCTGGCTCTGAAGGCGGAACGTATATGAGAGGAAGATGAAGTTCGGTGCAAGAAATATATCACCATGACGGTCTCGGCACAATATATAACAATGGATCTTGGGGAATCCGGTTTCATTTGACACTCTGCCAGTCCGCCGATCCCACGAAGTCGATACGCTCTCCGAGACAACCGCGCACTTGAGCTCAGCATATCAAATACCGCTGCGGGGCTAAACAATAGTGATGATGTTGCTGGAGTGCAATTTTCATGCCACCGAACTGCCAAGATCGGAATAAACTTTCTCCGCTCACCGATATCGACATCAAATCTCCGTTCCTTCCAGCCACTTCCTCTTCAGTAGCACATCCTGCTCACGCATATCATATGCACGACACAGCATGGAGCCTTGTATGTTAGCCCGCTGGGTCTGTTTCTCGGCTTCTTTCGCCCAATCTGCTTGACTGCGGACACGGCACAAGCTTGCAAGCGCCTGACATATATTGTCGTTCCAAGCATACACATAAAACCGTGTGTCAGATCAAGGCGAATGAAAAAAAAGGAAAGAAATTCGGCGGCCCCCAAAAAAACGTAAAAAATTGCAGAATCCACATGATCAATACATTTCATACCGGAACGTACCAAAGAGCGACGACTTTCGATCAATCGATCCACCAACGACATCCCATCCACCCCTTCCCACATTCTACCTCCACATTTACTTCGCCGCGGGCAAAGTAACCCCATCCTGATAACTAACCTTCTCCCCAATATCAAGCCCCCAAGCAATACTATCAAACTCCAAATCAAGTCTCTGAGCCTGAAGCTGCTTTCCCTTACGGGTCATAGTAAAGAAATTATATCCATTAACAGGAAACTGAGCGCTCCCGACGCCGAGGAAATTCCATTTCCACACGATGTGGTTGCAGTCGGCGATGACGGCTTTGGTGGTGATGCCTTTGATTTGTGGGGAGTGGAGGACGCCGGCGGTCCAGGTTGCTTTGTTTGGGGCGGAGATGTTGTCGCCTGGTGCGATCTGGGGAGGGAGGAGGGGGAATGTTAGTTGATTGTGCGTAATACGAAACGCGAATACGTACGGCTTTGTGTTGGAGAGATAGGATCGAGTTGGAGTACTCGACGAAGTCGTCTGCGATGATTTTGTCGGCTGTTTGGGCGGCGTTCTTGTCGGTTTGGCCTAAGACTCCGATGAAGGTTTTGATGTAGGCCTCTGCCTCTTTCTGGGTAATGCACTGGGATGGCCAAGAGCTGTAGCCTGGTGGGCTGGCCATAGCGGAGGAGGCTAAAGCAATGGCAGATACGATGAGGGAGAACTTCATTTTGATGGTTGGGGGTTGTTGCAAACGAGCGACTGAAAACGAGTGACTGGAATGAGGGTCGGGAATCTGGATGGTAGAACAAGATTGATCGAGTGCTGCTGATGATGAGAGAACAGGTGATGAATTGCGAGTTGCCCGCGACGTCTTATACCTTCTTCGAGCCCTCAGCTCTAGTAGTCTACCTTTGTTATGGTCCATGGCGTTGGCCTCTCGGTCCGGAAGCTCAACGCCGCTACTGTCAGGTACGCGAGTGCCATCGCATGACTTCAGCATCAGGATCAAGCAGAAATGCTATTTTTGTTCCCACGTGATGTTTGTTCGAGCACGATTTCGCTCACGTCAGACCGGCCGGAGACGTTGTGATCACCAAAAGAGAATCAAGGTTACTCTTCGAAGCGCCATCTTCACACTCTCAGCCCGGAAGCAATCTTCCTTCAAGCCCTACAGAGACGTTAGCCCAAGGAGCTACCGAAGCATTTAATCTCGGCAAGCCTTGCTTCCAAAACAAGCCTCCTTGGATATCGCCAAAATGGACTGTTCTAGCCAACTTTTCTTCAGCCCGCCAGCCCCAGATTCTCGCTCTTTTATGATATATCACAAGCCATCGTACCGACCGTACCTTCTCGGAGCAGATTCCGGACATCACTCACCAAACCCGCCCGTGAAATCCCGAATTTTCAGCCCTGCCCTCAAATTTAATTACAGTTACCAAGGCAGTTCTGATTCGTGACATCTGATTCAAGCCTGCGGGTGTGGTGTGCGGGTGACTCGTTTCAGCCACCCAGCCCTCTCCTGTTGCTCGCATGCAGGATGCCGAGCCTTCCAACATCAACTCGAACGCGGCATAACAAGCAAGCACAACCGACAGACCCAACGGTCAATATTGTCACCAATTCGGACTCCAGACGAGGATACTGCTTACAGTATATATAGAATTTCGACCAATTCGGGCAATGTTGTGATTTTTTTCATAGTCCTGGATAGAGCAGTAAGCAGCCTATGGAGTCTGGACACGCTATCGGAGAAGGAATGCGAAGTGGTAGAGGAATCTCGATTTGCTAGGAACGTGGTGCAATTGCTAGTCTACTACTGCAAGTTCCAGCGGTAGACTATGTCTGTGTCCGATTCTCGTAAAACTGGCCATGCCGGGTTTCGTTTGGGATGAGACCGTACCTAGCACTGTACCGAATCGGTTACTGGTTTGGCAGTTGCCTCGTACCTTCCTACCTTCCTCCCATGTGTATAACACAGCCACGCGAGGAAAGTACGAGCTTGAAACCTTCATGTTTCTTTCAGATTCATAATTCCTCATTTCAGTCATATCTACATCCAACCCAACAAACCAATCCAGCAATCGCGGCATCTCATCTCATCTCTATCTGAGTATCGTATCTCTCATACTACTACGACAACTGTATCAATGTAATAGTGTGTCCTCGCATGGGAGGCATAGGGTATCATAAAAGCGTCACGTCACGTCACGCCACAAAAGATCCTGACTCCAAATCCAAGCTCCCAAATTACCTCCTCCTTCTCCCTCCTGAATGCGATCCAAACGCCAACCTCTATTTCGTCCAAACAGAGTACTCTTCTTGATCGTCATCGTACACGGCTTCGCTGTACGAGGGCTCGTTCCAATACGAGGTATCGCTATCGTCGGTTTGGTTGCCGCCGGGGAGAGTACCATCTTCGATATCCTCTTCCGGCGGGATGCCAGTAGCGGGTTTGGCGCCGCCGAGCCAGTGCCTGACCTCGCAGGTGCCGTGTCGCTGGCAGACGTTTTTCCGGCCGAGATTCTTGAACTTGGGGCCTGTAGGTCCGTTGACGTAGTGGTACTGGCCGGCGAAGCGGTACTGTCGTGGGTCGGAAAGGGGGTAATATTTGTCACCCCAGTGGCCGGCATAGTTGAGCCATTCCACCGGCGACGTTGGGTTGAGCATGGAGGCACGCATGGTTCGATTCTTGGCGTCGTAGGTGTAGGATTGCAGGTTCTGCACTGGATCCCAGAGAGGGCCGCGGTCGGTTTCGTCGTGAAGCAGACCCCAGGGTAGGATGTAAGGGTGAAGTCCAGGCGTGCCGTACATGGCGTGTGAACCGAGGGCGCTGTAGACGACAGGACGTTTGGCCATGCGACCAGCAGTCTCGTTACTCCAGCTGCCGATCATAGTTCCAGATCCGTCGTGGCTGGGGATGTATTTCTCCATCGCCTTCCAGGTATAGGCTTGTCCGAAGTTATGCTCTGACAAGAACACCTGGTAGGGCTTGCCATTCCTGAAGCGCACGCACGTGTGCTCCCAATCGCCGACATGGTTGCCGAAGCGGATGTTCAACACGGTCTGTCCGAGATTGAATGAGTAGAAGAAGAACCAGAAAGCATCGACGATGCCATTCTCCTTGGGGACAACGATGAGGATGGCAGGCGCTGAGCTCTTGCCGCCTGGCTGCGGTCGGTGTTTATCGTCGTTAAAGTCCAAGGCATTTCTTCGGCGCAGCTCCTGGTGTGGCCCACGAGGTGGATTGTACGGATCAAAGCAAGTTCCGGCAAGTGGGTCGCAGGGGTCTCCACAATATTCTTCGCTCTTGCCGCACCAACCGTAGATGGAGCAGCAAGACCCGAACTTGCTCCCGTCGCAAGTATATCCGCTGCTGCCACCACATCGTCCGTCTTGGCTAGGCACGAGATCGGAGAAGAAGCCTTGAGTCGAGGCCTTCTCATCAGACTTTTCCGCTTGGTCAAGAGCCTGATGCTTCAGGGCGTCGAGGTCGTAGTCCTTCAAGTCGTCGAAGTCAGGCCATGGGGCCTCTGCGTCGTCTTCATCGTCGTCGTCGTCGTCTCGCCCTGGAGGACTAGGTATGTTTTCAATACTGGTGAGCCAATCAGGTCTCTCTTCGGGGTTATCGTCGCTTTGGAGGTAGATGAACCTGCTGTGTTCGCCACCAGCGTAGTCGTTTAGATCATTTAGATTGGTGAGATTGCGATCTTTCAGGTCGGAAATCTTGGTGTAATTGAGGTAAGGCGAGGTATGCACGAGGTGTTCGCCAACATCGCTGGGCCAGAATTTCTCTCCAGAGAATAGATGAACGTAAGGAGCGTGGTCCAGCACGTACTGCGGAATCTCTCGAAGCTTCCTTTCAGCATTCGACCATGAGTTGGGATCTTCACGTCCAGACTCCCACCATGGTATAGGATCGTCATCGGGTAGAGGTATGCTGTCTTGAATCTTCGATGACGTCCATGCGCTTTTGAAGAGTATGTGTGTGCCTCCACATATTCCTATCCAACGACAGGCCTGCCTGTCCAGCCAATGCTTTGACGTTGCGATCCATTCCGAATTCTCTAGCAGTTCGAGCGAGCTGGTGGTCTTGTCGATCTGCACGCCAATGAGGCTGCCCAGAATGTAGACGAGTGCAAGTCCCAGGAACCAGGCAAAGGTTCGTTTGAGGCGAAAGCGCCGCCTCGCGGGAGGTTGCATGTGAGTTTGGTGTGGAGTGGTCGCGGGCCTGCTGCGAGACTCAGCATCATTATCACCATGATTATTGCGAGCGAGATGGTGAGAGTGGCGCGGCTCCATGCTCGCTTGAATGGGCGGAGCAAGTGGACTTACCGATGCAGCTGTGAGTGCCGCTACCGGTTCATCGGGTGTTCTTAAATGCTGCACCGTAAATGTTCGCTGAACGCTGCAAAATGCGAAAAGGGCCGATGAAATGTAGATGCGATGGCAGATGCGCGATGGAGGCGTAGTAGGAGGAGTGAGGAGGGCAGTGGGTGGTACGAGATGGCGGAAGGCCGGAGGAGATGTAAGCAGTTCCTGACCGCCGAGAAAGGCCACTACGCAGGTAGTTGCAGCACGACGGCTGACGGCTGACGGCTGCACTGGCAAGGCAAGCTGACCAAAGTGTCACCGCTAATGAATGCTACTCCAAAAACGCTGGTGTGAGGAGGGGGTGGAAGGAATGCGTGGGTGCCGAGCAGTGGAAAAGAGGCTTCCCGGTCGCTGACGTCGCGCCTTATGATGATAAGTTAAGGCCAGCAGGCCAGTAGAGCAACAGCCAGCAAGCAAGGCTCTGCAGTGTGCACGAGGCGGGAGTGGGCGGAAGGTTCCGGCTGCAGGTTTGTAATGCAACAGAGGGATTTCGCCGCGCCTTCTAATGCCGCTCCAGGTGCCGCTCTAGCACCTAATATAGACTAGGGCGGCCTAATAAGGAAGTGAATAGTGCGCGTATACGTGTTACCTTTAGCTACCGCTCTAGCGCTAGCGCGGTACTAGAAGGGCCTAAATAGGCTACTAAGTAAGTAAATATAGCCTAGTATAGCGGAATTAGCTATAGTATCGGACCTCCTACTTTCTAAAGGTCGCGTCGATTACTATCGCTATAGTATAAATTAGTATATATATTACTAGTAGTAGCAATATAAGAATAGCTTCTTAAGAGTCTCGTCGGTCGCCTTATCTACTATTTAATAGTCTCTAACCCCTATACCGTTTCTATAGGCATAGAGCGGTACTTAGCCGCCTATATAGTCTCTAATACCTATACTACTATATCTATAAGTACTAAGTATTACTTAGCTACTTAATAATAGTATTAGCTTCTACTATTTCTATAAACTAACTAGCGACTAACTTTAAGTTATCTATAATAAGTATAGTAAACTATTCGCTTAATAGACTAAGTAATAGACTATAACGCCTTAACCTATTACTTAGTACCTTACTACCCTTTAAGGTAAAATACTACTACTAAGTACGCTATAATCGTTATATTATAAGTTAAGTAAATTCGCTTAAAGAAAGGCGAGGTTAGAAGCTTAATTAGAGGCTAATTAAGAGGCTATTAGTATCGATAAAGAGGCGCTACGAGCGAGTCGGCCTATAGGCTCTTCTAGCCTTAGTAACTATTAGAAGGTCGTACTTAGCAAAGTAGTAATAAAGTAGATAATAATACTTAGTATACCTAAAATATAAGATACTATTAGCCTCGTATTCGCGAGAGAAACCGGCTTTATATATAGTAGCTTAAAAAAGGAATTTAATATTAATACTAAAGGTCTATAATAAATAGCGTAACCCTAAGTAAGGCGGCACTTATATCGACTCTAGTACTAAATTTAATAATAAATATACCGACCGCCTTAGCGAGATTAAGGCGGCAATTGCTAAGAAGTAATAATTAGTTTAAGACAAAGCAAATACCGCTAAGAAGAAGGAAGATAAAGCTATTAACGCTTAGCTAGTAAGACTTAATCTAACAAAGAGCTAGAAGGGCAAGGGGAAGAAGAAGGCGCCTTTACTAGACCCTAAGTCTAGTAGTAGTAAGTCTAATACTTATATTAATAAAGAAGATGATAAGACAGACGGGGAAGCGGACTATAATAAGTATAATCTACGAGAAATAGTCTATCCGGAGGCGGACCTTAATAAAGATTTAAGAGGCAGTATATAATTTATTAGAGCTAGCTTCTTAAAGTTCTTATTCTTTAGTAACGCCGGCTTCTCGTTTAATATCGGCTTCTCGTTTAATAGTAACGCTATAGCTAGTTAATAGCGCTAGGAAGGCCTCTAAGAAGCGTAGGATAAAGCGAGAGTTAGCTAAAGAACCTCCGATAATAGAGGCTAGTATAGCGGTATTAGTACGGTCGTTAAATAGTAGTAAATTAAACGAGAATAGCAAGCGTAAGCTAAAGAGGCTAAAGAGCGATATTAGTACGCTTAAGGCTTATAATAATATAGTAACACTATTCTATCGCTCTTAAAGAATATAGCTAGCTAGCAAGAATCGGGCTCTAAGTAGGCGAATTTAGTAAAGGAAAGCACTCCGGCAGTTATCGAAGATATAGAGGTCGATTTATCTTATAAAGTATTAATTAGGAATACTTATAGCAAAGTAGAGCTATAGGAATATACAGTAGCGGGTATAGACCTATTCGATCCGAGCGTAGATTTATCGCAGTTTAAGGGTTAATAAAATAGTATATTTGTCGCTTTAGGCTTTAGCTATATAGCTATAAAATAGTTAATTTTAGTTATATTAAGTCGCGTAAAAAATATATTATAGCTACTATATACACAATAAAGCGCTTATATAGTTATATACAGGTATTAGCGCTACGTTATAGTAAAATATAGTACTAAAGGTTATAGCTTAGTATATATATATATTAGCTAAGATAAAGTCTACCTCCGCGGACCTCCTATCTAGAACCTACTCGACTATTATTAAATATTAACTGTCTGTCTATATCTTCGCGTTCGTATATGTTTTCGCCGTAGATAGATAGGCTCGTCTAGAATAGGTATATTGCCGTATAGATATAGATATTCTATAGTAGAGGGAGGTCTTATCTTAAAGCGCGTATTATACTAATTGCTACTACGTAGGTAGGTATAGACGTTTGTAAGTAAACTAGCTATTAGATAATAAGACGAGACAGGCTAGTTACTAATATATTATTACTTAGTAAGGCCTAGATATCTCTCTAACTATAAGGTCTTTCTAAAAGCGTATTCTATCTCTATTTTTGCCCTTAGTATATAAGTATTAAATACTTGTTTTAATAGCGGCAGTAGTTTACTAGGCTATAGACAAATAATACTAGAAGTGTAATAGTATACTAGATCGCTATAGAGATTGTAAGAAGGGTTATATTAGCAGGTAGATAGGGTAGTAGTAGGTTAGTATAGTATTCGATAGAGATCTAAGAGGAGAGGGAGGAAGGCAGGCTAGTTAGCCTAACGCTAAGCGCCAAGCCCTGCCTAAGGCATTAGGACCCTAGCTTTACTCGAACCCGGTTACATACTAGTTACGTATAACCTCTTTAGTTCTAATATACGCTTCCCTTCTAAAGGCCGCGCCCTCGTAGCCCTTTATATTTCTATTACAATCTCCCTAGGCTAACTTAGCAAGTCTAATAACTAACTCGCTTCTAAGCTAAATTAAACGCCTAACTAACTAATTATGTTATTCTATCTAAACCTCACCTCCGATAATGTCTAACTTCTAACTACGCTATTACTTCTACTTATAATAATAAGGGGTTATATAGCTATATAAATTAAAGGCTAGTAACTAATTATAATACGAGCGCACCTTCCCTACTATAATAGGTAGGTATACGGGGTATTGTAGCACTGCCCCTATTCTAAGTGAGGTTGTCCGAGTTCTTTACGTCTACTCTAAAAGACCTAGAAATGTCCGCTTCCGAGGGTTGTTCTTATTATTATAAGGGCTATTATTGTTCGTAGTTTCGCTAGCCCTAATTAGTTAGGTTTAGCAGCCTTTAATTGTTAATTAATCTTATCTTTTCAAAAACACAGTTCGTCTAGTTTCTATAAGTAAAGGCTATTATAAGTATAATAGTTAAGGTTCGCCTCGCTTAAAGAGTTAGAAAGATCGAGGAGTAACCTATTATCCGCAAGATCGACCCTAGCTAGCTTAGCTCTATATTTTTGCCCTTAGTTAGTCTACTTAATCTTCTAAGCCTTAATCTTTTAACTTAGTTAAAGTTTTAATTAAACCCTTAATATATTTAATCTTTTAACTTAGTTAGTATAGTGCTTTAGGCTCGTAGTATAGATAAGGCTACCCTCGCTAATATAGCGATAATAGCAAGTAATGTTAATAATAGCGGCGCTAGCCGTCTTAGCGCTAACTTTACCTTGCTTTTGATTTCCTTCTTCGACTAGTAACGCTTTAACTAGTAATATACTCCGCAACACTGTTACTAATATAGCCGCGCCGGCCGCGCCGTCCTTTAGTATAAGCGCGACGCCGTCGTTATTATTATTATTACTATTTACGCGCGCGCTATCCCCGCCGACCGCCTAGGCCTTAGGGCCTCGATAGAATAAAGAAACAAAAGGGGGACCCGAATACTAAGGGAAGGGCCTTATTATATTAGCGAAGCGGTAAAATCCTTAAAAGAGTAGACGGTTAGTTAATACGTTATAGCGCGCTTATTAATACTCGGTACGCGTTTACTATAGTAGTACAGTCTTATTATCCTTTATTGCTAACAATTGCTTGCCTCTAATTAGTTAGCTAATAGCACCCCGAGGGTAGCATTAATCCTAGGCCTTTCTAGTAATATTATAGGCCCTTAGCCTTCTTCTTGTTCTTTATACTAGTCTAATACTTATCTAGCAACTTAGTTATATCCTTAAACGAGTCTTTAGCCTCCTACGAGTCCTATTTAGGTAAATAGCCTTACTATCTTAGTAGGTACTCCTTCTTCCCTTACCTAGTCCGATGCTTTAGTATACGCTCTATAGACTATAGCTCTTTACTATTAGCTAAGACTTCTTCTAACTTAGTAGGCGCTTTATTGCCTTTGCGCTAGTAGTATAGTTTAAAAAGGGAGATATAGAAGGTATTATAGATAGTATAATAAGGTAGGAGCTATAACTAGTAGGCCTAGCTATTGCCCTTTAGTTCTCGGATGCGGAATAGGCTAATAAACCGTAGTACTAGTTTAGGGCGTGTTTTGCTATTAGGCGACAGGTGTTTGCGGATACAGAGGTTCTTAGTGCTTAATATAACTATATCGCCTTGTTTAAAGGTTATTAGCGTATAGTGTTTGTTATAGTAGGCCTTCTAATAGGCCTAGGCCTTTGCTAGTCTATTAGCTATCTTAGCGTAAATTTCTCGCATCTTTTAAACCCTCTTAATAGCCGCTAGTATTTTAGAGGCTTAACGTTTAGAGGCTTAACGTTTAGGGGCTTAACGCGCTTCCCTTTCCTTACGCTCGGCCTCGAGCGATAGGGGGTCTTATAGTATAGCAGCGTTCTAGCCTATTATAGCTATATAAGGTAAGACCTTAGTTAATAAATGCATACTATTGTTATATACGAATTCGGCCGGTTATAGGAGGTCGACCTATCTATTAGGGTCCTTATTAATATAGCTTCGTAAGTATTGCTATAGCGTAGC